AGGCTCATGGGCATGCACGCGAGGCACGGCGACATCTCCTCTGAGGCTCTGCTTGACCAAGTCCATGGCCGATATCTCGCATGCAGCTACGTGCAGCCCATCTTCGTTGCTCACGTTGGACTAGGCATCAGGGTGAAGAGGCAGGCGCACATGGGCAGTGACAAGGTCATCCCCCCATCAGCAATCATACGAGACAGTTTCAGTACTGCCCCCGAAAAAAAAAAAAAGAAGAAGAAAAAGGCCACGCTCATCTTCAGCTCCTGGGCTGTAACCTTCTCGGCATGGTCTAAAAGGGTTCGGTTATCCAGCCTAGCAATGGTCGCTTTTAACCTCTCTCACATGCCGCTATGATTCCTTCCGTGAAAGGACGTCCATCGTCGGCCTGATGGCTATCCTAACGGCTGAGTATTTTGAGGGTTGAGGGTGTACCCGTGAGGACTCTTGGTGTATCTTACCAATCACCAAGGTGTAGAAATGAGGATGGATACAATAATGCCACTGAGGCATGGGGCCAAATCATGCACATGAGAAGGAGCAGCACAACGGCCATGAGCAGTTTGGACTAGATACTACGTGCCAGCTCTCTGTGCGAGTGAGCCGTGCCATGATACCCGCCATGTCAATGTCTGCGGTAAGGAGATGGGCGAATGATCGACCTGGTGGCACGAATACACTGCATCTTGTATCTGGACTGTCTCTTGATGTGGTTCCTACTTTTTTCTTCTTCTTTTTTTTCCATGACGGGAGGCCTTGGATAATGGAAGCATGTGCCGGAGGAGGTGTTTTCCCTCTTCATATGTATATATATATATATATATATATATATATATAATATAGCATGTAATCTGTACATGGGGGATTGATGAGAGTTCTTACTAACCCTCAGAGTAAATTGGTCGCGGCTTTATTAGAGGACAGCAGCCACATATGGCACGCCACCAATCATAAGCCACAACTAACCTTGAACTTGATCCGGCTTATCTTATCGGCAGTCAGGAAATTTTCCAATCGTCTCGCTCCATCCCGCTGACCATTTTCTTCACTTTACAGTACAGCACATCTGACTACAGCACGGAGCAGCGCATTCAACATCTTGCAAGTCCCGCCTAGGCCGGGCTGCTCTCAACTGTACCGGAATACTGTGAAGACTGTTCGTAAACGCTGAAGATGGCCAAGAAGAGAAAGGCTACCGGCCGTCAGGGCCAGCCCACCGGCCCCAAGGAAGTCGACAGCGCCGATGCCCGCCTGGGTCCCATCAGCACATACAAGGACGTCGCAGACTCCGAGGATGAGTTCTTCATGGAGCGCGACCGCTTGATGCTCGACGACGAGCCCGACTCCAAGCGTCGTAGGAGGCACGACGACGATATCGAGCTGTCGGATGAGGAGATTCTCGGAGACGACGACTCTTCTGAAGAATCTGACGAGAAGCCAGAGAAGAAGCAGCCTCCCAAGTCGAAGAGGAAGAAAGCTGTTGAATCTGATGACGAGGGTGGCGAAGAAGAAGAAGGAGAGGGTGACGAAGGGTGGTGGGGGTCGTCAAGAAAGGAATACTACAACGCCGACAACATCGAAACCGAGGGCGACGCCATGGAAGAGGAGGCCGAGGCCAGGCGCCTCCAGCAGAAGAAGCTGTCCAAGATGACGGACGAAGACTTCATGTTTGACGGGAGCGAGTGGCTGGCCGCTGGCGATGACGGCGGCGAGGGAGACGACAAGGACGAGCCCGTCACCGAGGTGCTCAAGGATGTCGAAATCACCGACGAAATGGACTCCCAGGAGCGCTACCGCATACTCAAGTCACGGTACCCCGAGTTCGACCATCTTGCCGGAGAGCTGCAGAAGCAAGAGGCCCTTCTTGACGGCCTGCGGGTCGGCGCCAAGATTCAGGGCGCCAAGTCCCTGGAGGCCGTCAAGTACTGGGTCCTGGGCTGCTACGTCGCCGCGCTGGCCGGCTACTTTGCCGTCCTCACGTCGCCCGCGAGGGATGCCTCCAAGGCCAACAAGACGCTGAGCCCGTCCGACCTGCGCGATCACGACATCATGGAGACGCTGGTCAGCTGCCGTGAGGCGTGGAGCAAGATCAAGGACCTCCGGTCGACACGCAGCAGCGCCGGGGAGGAAGAGAAGGAAGATGGGGGCGCTCTCCCCGTGGTGCCCGAGGAGCTGTCCGAGCCTGCCACTGCTGGCAAGGAGGCGGAGAAGGCCGCTAAGGAGGCCAAGAGGAAGGAGGCTGCTTCCGCCAAGAAGAGGGCCGCCAAGGCGCGCGAGCTCGACGGCACGGTGGCCGACCTGTATAACCTGCCCCTTGTCAACAAGAAGTCTAAGAAGAAGAGTGGAAAGTCGGCAGCCGACGCCCACGGCGACGGCTCCGATTCCGATTTTGGCGAGGAGACGATGCTCGACGCCAGGACAGCCGCCGAGAAGGCCGCCCGCAAGAAGAGTCTCAAGTTCTACACGTCACAGATTGCCCAGAAGGCCAACCGACGCGCCGACGCCGGCCGCGACGCAGGAGGCGACGCCGATATCCCCTACCGCGAGCGCCTCAAGGACCGCCAGGCCCGCCTACTCCGGGAAGCCCAGGGTCGCGCGCAGAAGACGTCGAGGCGCGGTGCCGACCTGGACACCAACAAGGACAACGGCAGCGACGACGAAGAAGACTCCAAGGCCAAGGCCATGCGCGACGACGAGGACGAGTACTACGACATGGTGGCCAACAAGTCCAACCAGAAGAAGGAGGGCAAGGCGGCGCGCAAGGCGGCGCTCGCGGCGGCCACCAAGGCCGACAGGGTGGTGGAGAAGGAGGAGGTTGACGAGAATGGCAAGCGCAAGATCACGTACGCCATCGAGAAGAACAAGGGTCTCACTCCCCGGAGGAAGAAGGAGGTGCGGAACCCTAGGGTCAAGAAGAGGATGCAGTTTGAGGCCAAGCAGAAGAAGCTGGCCAGCATGAAGCCCATCTGGAAGGGCGGCGAGCCCAAGGGCGGGTACCGGGGTGAGCTGTCGGGTATCAATATCGGTGTTGTCAAGAGTGTCAAGCTGTAGGTCAGGAGCGAGAGAGGTTTTATATGCATCACGGTGAGATTGCAGAGGGTGGAGATGAGGACTACAACACACATACACACACACACACACATATATATATATATATATGTATGCGTACCTTTCCCCCGTGACTTCATACTGCTCGCCCAGGCAGGAGGAAAGTCTTCAACTTCCTTGATGCTCCATCCTGCGTCGCTGATAGCCCTGCATCGATTCAGATATCTCCAGGCCTCGATGACCCACTCCTTCCTGCGAATGCTCAAATGTCCATCGTCAACAGTCAGGACCCTCGCGTTCAAGGTACTGCATACGGCGCTCTGAAGTCCGGAGCAGCCGTTCGACCCTGTGCGTCTTCCGTCAGGGTCTGAATTCACTGCTACTCTGCTCTTCACCTGATGCCCATAAAGCATGAGGAAGATGGAGTAGTAGTAGTAGTAGTAGTAGTAGTAGTAGTAGTAGTAGTAGTAGTAGACATCTACTATCAAGCTCGGTGGCTGGCGTTAAAATGTGGGCAGTGGCAAATATCGTCCATGTCCATGTCTCTCTGCGGTGCACACCAGAAACCAGTAACGCCATAAGACTTACCAGAAACCGTAATCACCTCTCTCCTTCCCTTCTTCTCTTCTTCTTGGCCTAGGACGTCACGAAATTCGGCCAGAGCGCTCTCTTTCAGAAGGGCCGTAGGGATGTAAGGGCAACATCCGCCGGTATTCGTTCGCTGCCATGGAGCGTATAGGCCTGGCGACGTGGGCTTCGTTCATCGCCGTCATCGTGAAGTAGAAAGAAGCCTCCAGTACAGAACTCGAGCTGCCGCAGCTGAGCCGTAGATGCGATGAGATCAGCGGAATAGGTTCCTACGCTGATTCCGTTGACGCCTCCGCAGATGCCCTCCTGTCGAGTTGCTGTGCATGGATGAGACTCATGATGACGAAGGGTGTCTCCGCATGGGGGATCAGACAGTCGTCCCTGCCATGAGACGAGATGCGCGGTGTAGGAATCGTGGTCTTGGTCCCAACCTACCTACCACCGATATGTGGGCTGCGGTAGAGAATGGGATCGTAGAAGGAAGGCCATACTGCATCGCCGCAACCTCACCCTGTAGCTTTCCCCGTGGGGAGGAAATGAGCGATGGGGGCGAGGGGAATGCGGACGATATATTCCTATCTGTCGTCTATCCGCACGCGAAGGGAGGCGTTGAGGCCACGGTACGATAGGTCGACGATGCTGTAATATAGACCCCCGCTATGCGAGGAAATCAAGAGATGACCTCCGCGATACAGAGAAGCTTGGTAGGGAAGTCCCTTGCATTTCGGGGCATCTGGACAGACGGTTGACACGAAAAGGTAGTCTTGTCTTGGACATGATATTACTACATATCACATGAGTGATGGGCTCGGAGTACGCGATCGGATTCAAACATGCTTGCCTGAGCTAACACTCTTGCACGGGCACTTTGTGAAAGAAAATGGAGAAGAAAGGGAAGAAGAAGAAGAAGAAGAAGAAGAAAGAAAGGGGAGAGACTGTTCATCAGAGAGAAAGAGTAATAATACCTTGGGAGGATGCAAGCTGGAATATTATCTTTTTTTTTCCCCTCCAGGGTTGGGCGTGGATTTATTTATCACTACACAGACCAGCGCATGTGACCAGATTTGGAGGAACCAGAGAGCTGCGTCCATAGCAGCCGCACACACAGCCCACACCACAACCCTCACGACCAACGATAGACCCCCCCCAACACGTAGGAGGAGAGAGAGAGAGAGAGAGAGAGAGAGAGAGAGAGAGGGAGTGAGGTATAAGCGAATGATTCGTCGAACCTGCACACCGTCCAAGAATTCATCGATAAGCAGAAAGGCCCGCCCACAATGGCGACCCCCGACCCTTCAACCCTCACCTCGACGGCCGACATCTTCTCGGGCGGCTACACGCTCCCTCAGATCCGCGCCATCTACGACTCGCTGCACGTCTCCATCGAGGAGAAGGCTGGCCGTCTACGCACTCAGGTGGGCGGCTCGTACCGCGAGCTCCTGGGGACGGCCGACACGATTGTCCAGATGCGCAGCGACAACGAGCGCGTGCAAGAGCTGCTGAGCGGCATGGGCAGCCGATGCGGGCGTGCCGTGGCCGGGTCCAAAGTCTCCGGCCTGGCGAACTTTGTGCAGCGCGACGACGACCACCACCACACGAAGGCGGGGGTCGAGAAGGCTGCTAGGGTGAAGCTGCTGGATGCGTGCGGTCTCGTGGTCGGACGGCTGCTCAGCGGCGGCGGCGGCAGCAGCAACAGCAACGGCAACGGCAACAGCAACAGCAACAGCAACAGCAACAGCAACAGCAACAGCAACAGCAACAGCAACAGCAACAGCAACAGCAACAGCAACAGCAGCAACAGCAACAACAGCAACAGCAACAGCAACAGCAACAATGGCGGTAGCAGCAGCAGCAGCAGCGGTATCAACGAGTCATCCAAGGGCGACAGGCTCATCATGGCGGCCAAGGTCCTGGTCCTCAGCCGGATCGTTGCGAAGAGCCTCGGGACGGCGATGCTGGAGGCCCGCCTGGCACGACAGGTAGAGGCGTCCAAGAAGGCGCTGGGCAGTCTCCGGCGACGGCTGCTACGCCAGGTGGATAAGGTGCTCAGGGTGGTGACGCGGGACGAGGACAGAGACCGCGTCGTCAAGGCGCTGTGCGCGTACAGCCTCGCGACGAGCTCGGGGGCCAAGGACGCGCTGCGGCACCTCCTGCACGCGCGGGCCGAGGCCATGGCCATGGCACTCGACAGCGACGACGACGGCAGCAGAAGGAGCAGAGGCAAGGACGGCGACGCCGGAAGGGGCGAGCGCGAGCGCGTCATGCTCAGCCTGGCACTGTACACGCGCAGTCTGCTGGATGTGCAGGCCATCGTGCCGGGCAGGCTGTCGCAGGCCATGGCGCAGCTCATGAGCCGGCCGCTGCTCGAGGACCCGTCGCTGAAGCAGCTGTACGGGCTGCGTCTGGACGTGTACGAGCACTGGTTCAGCGACGAGATGCAGTACTTCACGCCCTTTATCCGGCACGACGACCTGGACGGCAAGCTGGCGCGGGAGACGCTGGCCGGCTGGTCCGAGAGGGGAGCGGCCGTGTTCCTGGACGGGCTGAAGGCGGCGCTGTCGCACACGACCGAGTTCAAGGCCATCATGGACCTGCGCAACGCGGTGCTGCGGCTGTGGATACGCGACGGCGGGCGGGCGCGCGGACTCGACCCCACAGCCATGCAGGACGAGCTGCGGTCCGTCATCAACGAGCGCATGCTGGCCGTCCTGGAGGCCAAGGTGGCCAAGCTGCACCTCGTCGGCTCCGAGGTGCAGTCCACGCTCGAGACGTGGGAGGACGGCGTGACGGACCGGAACAAGCACCTCTGGGGTGACGACGTCGACCAGGCCTACGACGAGGCGCTGTCGCAGGTCGGCGGCGGCGGGCTCTTCCTCGGCGAGGTCGTCACCCGGCTGTACGGGCGCAACGAGGCCGTGTCCAGGGCGGTGGAGAGCTACCGGGCCTGGTTCCGCGTCACCGACGACGTGCGCGACGTCGTCGCCTCGCTCACCCGGCAGCGCTGGGACAACGACGTGGACGAGGTCGAGGACGAGGACACCATCGACGCCAGGCAGCAGGCCCTCAGCCGCGACGACCCGGACACGCTGCGGACGACGCTGCACAGGTCGCTCGACGCCGCCTTCTCCAACCTGGAGAAGCAGCTGTCCGGCCTGTGGGGGCGGCCGAGGCCCGACAGCGGCCCGGTGGCCATGTACTTCCTCCGCGTGCTGCGCGACATCCGCACCCAGCTGCCGGACCGGCCGTCGACGGCGGCCTTTGGCCTCTCCATGGTCCCCGAGCTGCACGCCGCCATGGTCGAGGCCGTGTGCGGGCCCCCGCTGGAGGGCTTCCCCGACGCCGTCCTCGCCGGCAGGACCGTCGTCGGCAGGATCCTCTGGGAGGACGGGCTGCCGACGCAGCCGTCCCCGGGCCTGTTCGGCTTCATGCGCGACATGTCGGCCGCCATGGCCGAGGCAGGCACCGATCTGTGGACCCCGAGCGCCGTGACGGTCGTCAAGAGGCTGATGGACGGGAGGCTGGTGGCCGCGTGGAGGGAGGAGCTGGTCAGGCTGGAGGACGAGGACGACGAGGACGACGAGGACGAGGCGAAGCTGGGGGAGCTGCGCGTCCAGTGGCTCTTTGACGCGACCTACCTCGAGTGCTGCCTCGGCAAGGATGGGGCGCAGATGAAGGGCATGGTGAGTGCGCTGCGCGAAGCCGTCGACCTCGACGAGGCGTCGCGGTCGCGCATTGGCAAGTCGGCACAGTCGTTTTGGCAACGAACAAGTCTCTTGTTTGGACTCTTAGCATAGACGCACACATACAACATACATACACCATACACACACACGCGCGCGCGCGCACGCACGAGGGTAATACTAGATACATATACATACATACATACATATATATATATATATTATATATATAACAAGTTCCCTCCTACAGCTTATGTCTCTTCTCCCCAGAGGCAATCTTGCGAAACTCCTCCTGCGGCACGCCCTTGACGAACCTGTCCAGACCAGCAAAGACCTCGTGAACGTTCTGCTGGTGGACAATGTCCATCTCCGGTCTGCGGATGAGCTTCTTGATGCCGATGAGCGACTCGCCGATGAGGTGAGGGCCCAGACGGTCGTCTACCTCGCGCATGACGCGATTGCGGAAGGCGGCGTCTCGGCCGGCGGCGGCGGCCTCCGCTCCCCCCGCCTCGTCGGGGAAGATGGCGTTGACGAAGCCGCACCTCTCGAGCTCGGGAGCGGTGATGCGCCTGCTCATGATGAGGGCCTCGTTGGCCTTCGCCACGCCCAGGCGCTGGACCAGGGCGCGCGAGGCACCCCCCTCGGCCACCAGGCCCAGGGAGGAGAAGGGCGTGAGGAGGAAGGTGTGGGGCGCGGCGTAGATGAAGTCGGCGAAGGCGACGAGGGCGGCCGACAGGCCGACGACGGGCCCGTTCAGGCCGACGACCAGGATCTTGGGGTGCGTGCTGAAGGCGTGGCAGGCGTTGAGGTTGAAGGCTACGAAGCTCTGGAGCCAGTGCTTGTGAGCCTGGACATCTTCCGGGACGCTCCTCGTGATGGATACGTCGGCGCCTCTATATGTATGCATACATACATTTTGGAGGGGGAGGGAGATTGGTTAGTCGGGTCAGTCCCGGGGGGGCGGGAGGGGCTTCTTTCGTATATGGATAAGCATCAAGCATCAAGAACTCACGCGGAAAAATATCTTCCCTTGGCTAGCAACACAGTCACAAAGACTTCATCGTGAGTGGCAATCTCACGTAGCTTCTGGGAAATGTCATAGTAGTTGGCCTGGGTCAGGGCGTTGAGCTTCTTCTCATTGTCAATGGTGACGACTGCGACGCGGCCGCGATATTCGAGGGAGATGACGGGGGGAGCAGCGGAGGACGTCATTGCGTTGGACGGGACGTCTCGTCTTACAAGTTGAAGGATAGGGACACGAGACTGATATGTGTTGATCTGGTCGGGATATACTGTTCGGAGGACTGTCGTCTCATCATCCCGGTGATATGACGATGCCGAAAAAAGGAAGTGAAGCTGAAGCTGATGGGGAGGGTAAGGGTGAGGTAGGTAAAAGTATCAAGAAGATATAAAGTGATGTATTAAATATCGTAAATTAATACGGAATTAGTATTATACGCTCTCCCTGCCTTCCCCCCCCCTCCCCGAACCCCACACCTTCTATCCCCAGAGGCCAAGAGGCTTTTAGAGCAGAAGCACCCCAAGCCTCGGTTTAAATTCGGTGTGGGGGACATGTGCCGAGGCCAGCAGTAGTACTATTCTTCATCATGATATATTGCCGGAGAAGATGAAGCGAATATGACCTTCATGCACGCTGTATAGACTTATCAGTACTGGCATCTCGTACTTTCTTCTTCTTCTTCTCCTTTTTTTTTTGGCTCTTCTTTTCTGTTTCCCGGATTCGGATTGTGTCGTCTTGCTTCTCTCCTTTTTCTTCTTCTTTTTCCTTTTTCCTTTTTTCTTTTCTTCATCTTGATGTATAGAAAACGTATATACAATCCATCTACCGACCACATCTCTACATGACGTCACTACTGCCCATCGTAGTGATACTGCTGATGAGTAGCAGTACGCCGTTCATCGTCTCTTGGGAGCAAGGTGCCTCTGCTTGGGGAAATCTAGGGGCAGGGCAAGCTTGGCGACGTGCACGGTCCTCCCCTCGGCCTTGTTGGAGACGGGCTTGACCCTGCCGCCGATCTCGTGGAAGTACTGGTTGATGGTCTTCTGATCGACGCGCAGGTCGTCGCGCAGGTTTTGGGTGTCGACCTCGTAGTTGTCGACGATGCAGGCGAACGCGCAGCAGTGGGTCATGAGCGTGTCGACGTGAAACTTGCGCATGACGCCGCCGTCGGAGAACTTGCGGCGGATGTTCTCGACCACGGCCTCGGGCGCCGGCTCCAGCAGCCGGTGCAGCTTCTCGCGGGGCGGGAGCTGGCGCGTGCCCCTCTCCCGCCCGGGCTTGGTGTTGAGGTACATGAGCAGGACGAGGTAGAAGTAGCGCAGGACGCGGAGCCGCACCACGTCAGCCTCGTCCCCGCTGCCGCCCCCCGCCGCCGCCGCCACCGCCGCCGCCGCCACCCGATTCACCCGGTTGGCCACGAAGCGCGACACCACCTGCACGCCCTCACGGTGCTGCACCTTCTCCTGCCACTCGCGCACCGGCACCAGGTTGAGCACGTCGGCCCCGATCATGGCCCGCGGGTCGTACACATCCTCGACCTCGGTCGCCTCCAGGTTCGGTCGGGGAGCCGGCTTGGCCTCGTCCACGGCCGCCTGGAGCTCCTCGCGCGACGCCATCGAAGATGTCACGGCCCCGATCGAGCTGAGCATGGCCCGCGACGCCGCGTCCATCTTGGCCGGTTCCTCCTCCTCTCCCCCTTCGCCCCGTCTCTTCTGCGGTGAGATGGCGTTGAGCACGTTCGCCTCGATGGCCTTCTTGGCCTTCTTTGTTCCAAATATCTGTCCCAGCTCCGTCTTGCGATCCATCATGGTCTATCATGGCACATCGGTCGTCAGTACGCTCCGATCTCTTTGCTCTCCTTTCAAGGCGAAACAAGAGGAACAAGCATGGAAAAGATAAGGGGGAAAAGGAGGGGAAAAACCCTAATAAAAAAAAAGGGAGAGAGAGAGAGAGAGAGAAAGAGAGAAAAGAAAACTCACCTGCTTGAGCTTCTTCTCGGCCGCCTCCTCCTCGGCCGCCTGCTTCCCACGGACCGTCGCCCTCACCACCATCTTCCTGGCTTCGATGACCTGCATCGATCCAGTCTTGGGGTCCACCACGGCTACGTAGTGCTTCACCAGCTGCTCCGACCCCCTGCCCACCTCCTCCCTGGCTATATAGTCGAGGTTCGGGTGTTCTGTCGAGTGCAGTAGGAGCTCCCTCTGTTGTTGTTGTTGTTGTTGTTGTGATGCCTTCCTTGACGATTTGCTCCTAGGCTGCGCCGCCTCTGGGGACGCATAGGACTGAAACTTGATGCTCGACGGAATCTGGATCCCTGGTGATGTCGCTTTTCGTTGGTACCAGCCAGAAGAGAGACAGTTAGCCAGGTACACCATGCAGGGAAATAGAAAGCAGCCGTCGATCTGCACGCCAGTACCGGGTCGCGATCTTACCTATCACTGGCGGGGAGGACTTGGGCTGAAGCAGGGACGACACCTTGGACACTGACGCCGGCGCCACGAGTGCCGCCTTTTTAGGGGCCTTGGCTGAAGGCTCGCCATCTCTCTTGCGCTTCGCCATGGTCGGAGGTTGGGTTCTTGCTGTTATTGTGTTGGCGGCAATTTGAGACTCTCGTCAGTCTCCAAGGTGGGATATCTCAACCGATCTCACTTTTTTTTTTTTTTTTGGTCTAGAATTCTTTGCCTACAGAGTTCAGGGAAGCGGCAGAAAAAAAAAAAGGTTACATGTACTCCGGGCCGGTAATCACCCGGAGCGGTGAGGCGCCGCCGGCTAGCCTTGTGGCTGTAGCCTGTAACCCGCTGCAACCCCACCTGCCCACTGACTACTTGTAGTAACAGGGACTCCGGCGACGTCACACGCGCACACACACGCACACACACAAAAATTGGTAGCTGACAATGGGTTCAGATCGGCAGTGGGATCCAGACAAGATGCTTGCAAAGATACTTGCTCAATTCCTCTAGGGTTCCAAAGTGACGTCTGTCCAATTGACCGATTCATCATCTCACATTCGATTACAGAATAGTCACCGGCAAAAAAAAAAAAAACCAACGTGGAGACGATAGTGGTCACGCGCAGTTACTCCTAGTGGTGAGAAAGCCACATCAAGAGGATTGCAAGAGTTCTTCATGAAGCAATCATGTTTATTTTTTGATTTTTGTCTTGAGTCAACAAGTCTGCGTTCTATTGGCAGCTTGCTTCAGAGACGTCCTGATGAAACGCCAGCTTCGCCCGACCCTCCGATTGTCCGTGTGGTATCTTCGCCCACAACCGTCAGATAATCCGTCCAAGTAAATCACAAGTCCCATCCTGAATGCAAGCATCCGAGTCATTTCCCATAATCACCAAGTCGGGCCATCAGTCGATGATGGAGGCGGTAGGTCGTGTTGTCATGAAAGATAGGTCTGGGTCAGGTTGTTGCGTGAGGCGCTTATTTGCTGTTGGAGAGGAGTCACGGTCAGCGGCTGGTGCCAGGATAGAGAAAAGAAGTTCCGAATGGTAGAGTGTGTAACTTACGAGCGAGCTCTCATCTTTCTTCTCTTGCGCTTAAGGCGACGAACGCGCTTCTTCCTCCATTTGGCTCTCATCTTGAACGATTGTTCTCTTTTGTCACGTTAGTCCTCTGAGAACCTGGGTGCGCGGGGTTGCCGTAAGCGGCAATGGAGAGTGGGATTTTTGGAAAACATGCGAAGGCAATGATGCAAAGCATTCCCGCAATAAGGGATGCCTTGCATCAAAGCTAGGTGCCCAAAGTCCAGGGGAGGAGGAGGGGGGGGGGGGGGGGGGGGGGGGGGGGTGGTTTAACTCACTGGTTCGAGGATGAGAATCGTGTGTGGATGAGGAACGAACAATACACAGTCAGGCGGGGAGAATTATGACGGTTAAGTCAGGACGGCCGTAGGGTTCGCAACCCGAAGGGGTCACGTGTGGCGATTTTTACGTCACAAACGTCACCATTTAGTAGCATTCACCCATATTGGTGTGAATTGTGTGTTGACACTGTGTTCATACACTGTATGTTCTCGCATCAGATCTGATCGTGTAGATGGGAAGGAGCGAGGAAGAGGTCGGCCACACCTTCTTCAGGACACTCAATGTCAATAAAAATGTCAGCAGGAGCTGTAGAGAAACATGTAGAAACCTCTCAATGCGCTCTCGTCCAGATCCGCTCAAGGCTACCCATGAATTTTGGCAATCCAGTCTGTTCTTCGGCAGCACAAGATGGAGTTCCACAGCGCCGACAGCTCTCAAGATACCCCAGTAGCTCTGCTGAGATTCTCGGACACTCGGTGCGGTGACAAGTCCAATAGTGAGCCCTGATATGCTGCCTCCATGGGTCGATTTCTCATATGAGGGATACTCAGCTCCCTATTGCCTTATCTGACAGAGCTTCTCAGAGACGATACCGATCTGTGGCCATGAGATACTCAAGATTGGACGTCATGCAGGGTCCAAGTGAGCGCACTTCTCTTAAACCGTGAACAAGCTCGTGAACAAGCCTGACCTCCAAAGCAACTTTGTCATCCAGCCCGACCTGAACTACGCCGTCTCACGCAATCACTGCGAAGTGTACGTGGTGGTCTACGAAGCTGACGTCCACCATGTCTACGTCCGTGATCGCAAGTCCGTCAATGGGACCTACGTGAACGATTTCCTCATAGGCTCCGGTGTAGAGCTATCACAGGGCTACCTTCTACAGCATGGAGATGTCATCGAGATCAAACCGTACTAGAAGTTTAGTTTTTCTCGGACAAGCAAGCCCAACCTACGTGGCTTGACTGATATCCAGCAACAAGAGGCTCAGGTTGGGGAATGATGCTACCCATTCCGCGAACAACAGCTGATTTTCTTCTTTCTTTTGAAACAAAAACAGTTCTTCGCCCACAAATACCAATTAACTGACTACTGTCTTGGCCAAGGAGCTGAAGCATCAGTGTTTCTGGCCATCGACGCATCGACCAAGAAACAGCTGGTGTGCAAGGTAGTCAGGCTGGATGAATACCGGGGAAGGAAACGCCGAGCAGATGTTCGACGTAAACTTCAAGGCACCGACATTCTTCGGCAGCTGCAACATGTGAGCTTTCTTCATTTTCCAAAGAACCACGGCACCAATCTCGGGACCATGCTAAGACCTGGGACACAACACAGCCAAACATTTTACCCTATATCGACGCCATCGTGTCGTCGCACGCCCTGTATGCGCTCCTATACTCGTCCAAACATTCTGTTCTGTATCCTTACAAATAAAAGATACATGTTCACCGAGATTGCCTCGGGAGGCGACCTCATGTCCTTTATAAACCGTCACGGGACCGTCTCTGAGCTCGATATCCGAATCATCCTCCGCCAAGTTATTCAGGGTCTCGCATACTTGCACAGAAAGGGCATTGTTCACCGTGATATCAAGCCAGAAAACATTCTTCTTGCGTACTCGCCGAAGATTGCCTATCACAGGATTATGCTGTCCGACTTTGGGGCGTCTGCAATTCCACAGAGGAGCAGGATGATAACAGCTGTAGGGACAATGGACTATCAAGCGCCGTGAATCAACCCCCCCCCCCTTTCTTAGCATGACGTGACCAGCCTCGGGGAGAGTTCTCTTGTTCTGACTTTGACATACAGTGAATTCTTCACGAGCACTGGCGTCCAGACATCTGCAGTAGACATATGGTCTCTGGGCGTGGTGGCTCTTGCTCTCATTACGTCAGTTGAAGTCATCCGTGGCCACCTGAACCTCATGGGACAGCAGGACCTAGACCGGCGTCTTATACGTTGCTTTGAGAATGCGAGCCCGAGGCCTACGTCCAACGCACAGGACTTCATCGTGAGGTGCCTTCGTGTGGCACCGGAGGAGCGGCTCACAGCCACCGCGGCGGCATGCCACGACTGGATGTGCACACCGAGGAAGCACCTGGAGTTCTTCCGACGATTCGACGAGCGAGTCATATCCCACTGGACTCCCCAGAGCCATCTGAAGCCCATGCCGTGGGAGCTGCAGAGCCTGAGAGACGCAGCTGCGGAGGATGAGTACAGGAGCGTTGGCAGAGCGGCCGGTGCTGAACAGCAGGAAGACGACACATGTGTAGAGACGGCGTCGTCGTACTTTCCCGAGAAGGAAGATGACGACGAGTTGTCTCTGGTCCCGATGCCGATGCGGCCCAAACTGCCCACCCCTATATGGGACCAAGCAGAGACACCAGCCACCAGAGTCCGCCGTAATCCCCGGAAGAGAGCAATGCTGACTTACCGGGGGAACAGTTCAAGGTCTGCAAGAAGAGGTAGTGGGAGAGGGAGAACGAAGTCATCTAGAACAGCACCGGACCCTACACTCTTCCTCCCGCTACCCGGCCTGTCCCGCCATCTGGGGAAGGGGGAGCGCGGCGGCCCAAGGAGGGAGCAGGTACTAGAGGAACTCCGGGCGAGCAACAGTCGATTCCTGCCGTCGTCTAGGGGAAATTTGGTGACAAAGGAGGCATTGAGGTTCTATGCATGCTGATGAGGTGAATAGAGGTGATTAGAGATGCTGTATTGCTTTCCCCTTTATTTCCTCTGATTTTTTTGTTTCTTTTTGTTTTGCTCCAATGCAATTTTTATTTTTAAAAAAAACTTGTTTTATTCCATTTTATTGTCTTTGCTTTCCTCGCTCTCCTCGCCTCGCTTGCCTAGACACTATTATTATTACCATGCTCCCGTCCCGTCCCGCCCCGCCTCTTACGCAGCAGGATCGGCGGCCTCAGCGAGTCCCTCACAGGATACCCATCGACATATCTCGGGGCTGATTCTCGAATGACGTTACCATGCCTCCCCCATAACTCCCATACTAGACCATTCACTCCATCGTCGTCGTCTTCTTCTTCTTCTTTCCCTCCCTTCCCACCACCATCCTGACATTGACCCTGACGGCCAGCAACACCAACACGCCTCCTCATCTCATCCCTCAGTCTCACAATCTCGTCCACGCTCCTGACGCTCTCCCTCTCTACCCTGAGGACCCTCTCCCTCCTGCGCGCGGCCACGGCCTCGGCGTGGTGGGCCCGTACGGCAGACAGAGCGCGGTTCCTGTCCCTCTGCTCGGCCCGGTGACCGGCCAGGATGGCGGACCGCTTCTCAGCTGCGACCGAGGCGGCTTCCTGTTCGGCGCGGCGGCGGGTCAGCGCCTCAGAGACCATGTCGTCGTGTAGGGTCCGGTCTAGGTTCAGCACTTTGGCTATAAGGGGCGTCAGGTGTGGTGCGTCTTTTGCTTCTGCTTCTTTTTCTGCTTGTGGTTCCTGGGACATGGTATTTGCTCTTCTCCGTTCTGCCGTTGCTTTGCTAGCTTCCCGTGCCGTAAATGAGACCTTGGGGGAGGGGGTGTTTGTTTTTGGGTTTTTATTTTGACTTGATTCCTTTGAATGGAAATGCTGCTTTATATATCTGTATATATATATATATATATATATAATGCGACTATCACTCAGATCAAGGCCACAAAAACGTCTACAAGATCAATAGGACATACTAGGTCAGAGTCCTACGAGAGACAAAGCCCGCGAGGGAAAAAAAAAAAAAAAAAAAGTCTATGAAAAGATAAAAGAGAAGACAAGAGATTATGACAAAGAGTTCACAAGCAGACAAAAGTCATGACAAGATAAAAGACAAAGAGAAAGAAAAAATTCATTGTACGACGCTCGTAGCAGGACAGAAGAATTTCCATTACGAGACAGGAGTCACTGAAAAACAAGGTCAATAAAGGCATATATAGAGACAAAACATCTCAAGAAGCATTCTTGTCTCATTCATATATACACCCCCAACACAGCTGACCGAACCGACAAGACAGAAAGAAAAATTAAAGACAAGAGGCTCAGATCCACGCTGGAAATGTCCCTTTCCGAAAACGAGAAGAACAGTGGTAAGAGAAGGAGAAGAAAAGGCAGTAGAGAGGCACCAGAGGAGGACAGGTAAAAAAAAAAAAGGAAGATAAGAAACGCCATGTCATGTCAATCTTGTTTGTATCCATAACTCCCGCTTTCCATGACGTTGTAGTGCTTTGCTCTGCAAAGAAAAGAAGAGGAAAGGAAAAAAAGACCCAGGGTTCATAAAGAATTGAGAAAGAGTTAAGAAGAATAAGAGAAGGAAAAGAGATTAAAAAAATAGAATAAAAAAAAGGATAAACAGAACAAAGGTTCTAATATGTAAAGAGAAGTGGGAGAAAAAAAAGAACCTGCGACGCTGATAGTGGCCAAATGCAAAAAAAAAAAAGAAAAAAAAAAGTAGCCAACTAGGAAACATTTACGGTCGTGGACTGGCATCTCCGCTTCGACGCGACTGTCTACTGGCATCGGCAATCATCTGCAGCTTCTGCCTGACCGAGTTGAGACGACCGCTGATCATGGAGATCACTGCAACGACACAAACACACATACATGTCAGCATCATCACACACACACTCTCTCTCGGGGTTGCCTGAGAAAGGAAAGAAGAGGGAAGAGGAGAGAGGAGGAAGAGAAGGGGAGAACTCACTCTTGCGAACATGCTGCTCCTCCTCGCAGTCGATACCACCGTTCCCCTCCCTGGATGGCTCCTTACCAGCCACCCGTCGGGAGCTATCCTCGTCGCTGTCCAGGACGGCCTCGAGCATGCGGATCGCCGTCACGTATGACAGTTCGCACCCGTGCAGATCCTCGTTGGCCACCTCGGCGATGGCGGCCGAGCGGCTCATCTCCAGCGCCCGGTCGTACATGAGCTTCTCCGCGCTCGTCCCGGGCGTGAGGTAGACGTGCTTGATGCCGGCACCGGCGCCGACGCCGCCGAGGCTGCTGGGGCCGCCGATGCCGGCCGACGACGTCGTCGTCACCGACGACGAGTACTCGTCCACCCCGTGGTTGGCCGGGTGGTTCGGGTGGTCCGGCGGCAGCTGCTTCTGCGCCCCGAGCAGCTTGAGCCGGATGATCTCCGACTTCTCGAGCACCTCGTTGAAGCGCTGCCGCACCCACTGCACCACGGCGTTGATGCGCTGCGCCGCCGACTGCGACACGGCGGCCGATATGCCGGTCGCCGCCTCGCCTCGGCTCTTCTTGGCCCACCACACGCTGGCAATGTCCATGGCCCGCGCCAGCAGCGTCAGCGACTTGACGTACAGCACCAGCGCCTCCTCCGACAGGACCACGACCGCCTCCGTCGTCAGCCCGTCCTCGTCGGAGCTGGCCTGGTCGACGTCGACGCCGCCGAGGCCGTGCTCCACCGACGGTGCCAGCGGTATCAGCTGCTTGTACTTGACCTCGGCGAACCCAAAGACGCAGTCGCTCCGCGTCGCCAGCTCCTCGATCGTCTGGGCCGCCATCACGTCCTCGTCCGACGATGCCGATCCCGTGCCCCTGCTGCTGCCGTCGCCGAGGAGCCCGGCCGTCAGCGCGGGAGTGGGGTACGCGGGGAAGGCCTGGTACAGCGGCGGCGACTGGCCCTTGGCCCCGCCGCGGAGAGGCGGCACCTTGAAGCCAAACAGGCGCAGGCTGGCGTCCTGTATGGCCTTGGAGATGGCGCTCGACGCCGAGCTCGGGCTGACCGAGGGGGGCCTGTCGTAGGACCCCCGACGGTCGTGAGCGGGTCGGCCCTGCGCCACCAGGGCGTTGCGCGACGTGGGCGTCGGGATGGCACCCGCCGTCGCCGTCGGGGCACCCTGCTGCGTCGAGCGCCGCGAGAGCTGACCGGCTCGCGGGGGGTTCGCCCCTCCGTGGCCGAGCTTCTCGTTGGCAGCCAGTTCGTCGGCGAGCGCGTTGACCTCGACGTGCCTCCGCTCGACGACGACGTAGTCCCGCTCAAACATGACCTCCTGCGCTGCCCTTTCCTCCTCCGTAGGCGTACGGCCGGGCGACTGCCGTGCCCGGGTGTCGGCCGGAGACTGGCGGGCGGCAGCGTCACCCAGCCGATGCTGGACAGGTGCCGATGCCGTGTGCTGGGCGGCGGCCGGGCGGCGGATACCCAGACCGTCCCTGTCAGATGACAAGGACGGACGGTGCCCTCCCTGCTGCTGCCTCGGGCTAGAGGACGGGGCTGTCCTCGGCACCTGTTCCCGCGGGGACCTCGACGGTGCGGCGGCGCCGGCAGCAGCCGCCTCTTGCTGGCCCGTGTTCCGCTGCGCAG